AATTGTAAGAAGCGGGGAGAACTTGAAAATCGTAGGGAGAAGTCGAACAAAACAGGAAACGAAGCCTACCACAGAGAATCAAACCATTAAGGTTTTTGTCGGGTAAATCCGTTTTTCGACAGATTTTTTCAAAATTTTTGCTATAGATAGCTCTTAAAATTCCCTCCAAAATGAGCACAACAAAAAATCAATCGTCAGTTTCTGAGCTGAGATATGATTTTTTGAATTAACATGGGTTCAAATGCATTTCACCGTTTTCATTTAAAAAAAAAACCACTCGAAATTTTTTGATGAAATTAACACAGAACGTAGAAATAGTGACCACCAATATACTGAAAAAAAAAAAAGTGATCGTCAGTTTCGTAGTAGAGTAATAAATTTTCAAAGTAGCATTATTTCTCCCAGTGGGCGGAGCGCATGAGTTTGTTGCGCGCGACGCGACAACAACGCTTTTTGCTCGAGTGGCGCGAATCTATTTCGAATAGTCAATGACGAATCAAAGGGACGATTCATAAATAAAATAAATACATTGAGTGAGAAAGAGAGAGACATGAAAACAGAGACACGCTGCGCGCGGTTGCCACAATCGGCACCGTTTAGCGTTAGCTGTGTGTACATGTATCCATGCATGGTAGATTCTTGTGTGCGTGAGTCGAGTGGGACTGTACACCCGCAAATGTTTATATTCCAACTCGTATTCTCCGCTTAGCGGAAGATCAACCCGGAGCGTAGTAAATTTTAAGCCTGACTCTCTCGCCACAACAACCTTAATGAACGGAAGCGTATTTTTCTCGAACACCTGCTGTCGCTGGAAAATGTGCGACATTGGATTTTAGGACTGAGGAATCACCGAAGACAATAAAATAGAAAAATAATAAATCAAATTTTTAAACAATCAAAATCACGGATTTTTTTTTTATGTTTATGCACCGTACACTTAAATGCTATAAATAATTCAAAAAGATTTCTTAGAGAATGTTCCAGAGAGAAAAGCATACAGTGAATGTTGAAGGGAAAGCTGAGAGAAATCTGATAGGAAATTGAATAGAAAATCAAAGAAAAAATCCTTTTGGTTAAAATGCTCTATAGAAAATCTAGAATATTTTCATTCATATTCATTCATATTTAAAGTGAAAATATCAGCTCTGGGTCAAGACTGGCTCACAGTCCCCAACCGAGAGTTGATAGTTTTCACTTTAAATATATTCCAAGTCGCCTCCGCACGACTAGGTGACCCTAGAATCATTCAAATGGTTAAATGATTCTTTTTATTCACCCCTATTTTTTATTTCCCGATATTGAAAAAAATTAAATGAAGAGAAAGACAACTCTGGGTTGGGGACTATGACCCAGTCTTGACCCAGAGTTGATAGTTTTCACTTTAAATACATTCCAAGTCGCCTGCGCACGTCTAGGTGACCCTAGAGTCATTCAAATGGTTGAATGATTCTTTTTATTCACCGGTATTTTTTATTCCCCGATATTAAAAAGATATTAAATAAAGTGAAAGACATCTCTGGGTAGGGGACTGTGACCCAGTGTTGACCCAGAGTTGATATTTTTCACTTTGAATACATCCTGAGTCTCCTCCGCACTTCTAGGTGACACTGGAATCATTCAAATGATTAAATGATTCTTTTCTTTCACCCCTATTATTTATTTCCCGATATTAAAAAAAAATAAATAAAGAGAAAGACAACTCTGGGTTGGGGACTGTGACCCAGTCTTGACCCAGAGTTGATAGTTTTCACTTTAAATATATTCCAAGTCGCCTCCGCACGTCTAGGTGACCCTAGAATCATTCAAATGGTTAAATGATTCTTTATATTCACCCCTAATTTTTATTTCCCGATATTAAAAAGATATTAAATAAAGAAAAAGACAACTCTGGGATGGAGACTGTGACCCAGTGTTGACCCAGAGTTGGCATTTCATCTCTCAAACAATCGTTGCCACCCTTCCCCTTATTTTAATACACCTCCCGTGTTCGCTCTGAACATACAGTTATCCCCAGAATTGTTCAGCAACATTGCTACCTCGTTAATGAATAAAAATCATCTGTCTGGGTTTGGATTTTACCCAGAGCTAGCACATTAGCGTTCAAACATATTCATTTAATTATCCACATCCTTCAACAATATCATTATATGCTTAAAATAACTCAGCAACAATCGGAAAAAGATCATAGTACACCCTGCGTTTAGATCTTCCCCAAATTCACCATTTAACCTCAACTCTGTGTTTTCGGCTAACCCAGACTGGGTTGCTGGACACAACCCAGAGTTGAACTCTGGGTATGAACCATCAGGGGTACTTAGGATGCGTTTATGTAATGAAAACTTAAGTGTAAATAAAGCGCTCTTGGGACTTATGACCTTACTTGGGTTGGGTCTCAAGGGCCGACTCGTTCTTTGCATTACCCAAGGCCACGGCGGGGACACACCGGTTATCGGTCTCACGACAACACATGTTGTTCCATTTAGAGACCGGGACAACACAAAGAGGTATATTATTGTTTACTCACTCAACAGCAGCGCCATTCACCGTGGGGGGCAATGAATTTCCTTTTAATTTTGACATGGGTTCTCAATACCAGTATAAACACTCCACTGCCCTCCATACAGCAAATTCTATAATTAAATTTATAATTATGAATTATTTAAAACAGTTCATACCCATATCGAGTGCCCAGATAGTGATCTCATTCCTCCTTCGATGGGTGGATTGCTCCTGAGTGTGGTAATTCAGACCGCACTTGAGGTGTAGTGTCTTGACATGGTATCAAAGCACTCTGCCATTCTAACCTCTAATGTGACACTTCTCTTAAGGATGTTCAACCCTGAATTTGAAACTAATGAAAAAATTTTGAAAGAATTCTGACATAATTTCCAACTTTTTCCAACACCCTCTGCAAAATTTCAGGGCGATTCACAATGTGGTATTTTTATAATCAATTTTTAAAAGATAATTTTATTTTTTGGACTAGAATATTTTGGAACTCACCAAAAGTATATATTTAATATAACTACTTGAAGCTCCTGTGAATTTTTTACATGATCTTCAAACTATTCTGAAGAATTATGCGAAATTTCACAATGATTTGATGCGAATCATTTATTATTTTGATTTTTAAACCATTAAATCCTCAATTAATTTGATAGGGATACGTTGTAATTAAGTGAACGAATGATGAAAGAACGAAGCAATTTGTCTCAAATTTTTCAAGTGACTTCAGTATTGAACAACCAATATTTGTACGAAATTTCAATGAATTCAACTTGACGGTTCTTTGCTTAAAAAATCTAAGCCAATGACAAATTCTTTTGAGGGACAATTATGCGCGCGCAATGTGAAAACGTAACAACGCCGTGTAGCAAGCACGGAGAGGAGATGGACGCGGTAGATTCAACTTTGTAAGTTTATCCTTATAAAGTTTTCATTCATGAACTATGATATAAAATTAATAATAGAATTGACCAAAAAATGTCCGTTAGAAAATCATGATTTTGGATGAATACAGTCAATTATTTGAGTATTAATTTTCTTCTAAAATCGTAATTGTTTATTTTTCAACTTTTCTTGAAAAAAATGCCCGAATGCCGTCAGCTCCACTGACATTAAAAATTACTTGTATTGATTCCATTGGGATTCCGGCTGTTGCCAATTTTTTGCAAACACTGACACCGAAATTTTGTTCAAAGGACTTTAGAGAGGATAAATTTTCTCTTTTATTTGTGTCATAAATATAGGCATCAATTTTCTCTGTCTAAGCAATACATGATTTTTGTCGAATATCGTGAGTTATTTTTAATTCTCTTAATATTGTCGTATACAGAGAATTCGCCAGGCACCCCAAACCACATTACCCGTTCTTTTTCTCGTCCGTGATTTTCTGTATAAGTGGCAGTGTATCCACAAATCCGTGAATTAGACTAGAAAATTCATCTTCTAACTGGTTTTTGATAATAGCTCGGTATAATCGTGGACCATCAAAACTTAAGTTGTGAGCTGAAAGAATAACTTTCTTTTCAAATGTCGCAATCCACTCGATAAAATTTTGCAAAGCTACATCCATCGGGAATGAGAGTACTAATTGACCACGTAGTAGAAGTTGTCTACTCCAGTGGATGAGACCGTTGACAGTTAGTTAACTTAGTTAGTTGACTTGTAGCTCCCGGCTAAATCTCCTGTTTGGGATTTATATAGATGTCAGAGGTCCTTTTTCCACATTTAGCTGCAATTTGAAGAATATCACAGTCACCACAGAAACTGGAAGTCTCTAGATCGAAGAAGACAATTGGTAAATTGGGGTCATCTACATCACTGCCTTCAGCTTCTTCTTCAAGTTCAGGCACTGCTGATTGAGTCAACGGACCACAACCACTTCGATATGTTAAGCCTTCATTATTTTCTCGATAATGTCGTATAAATTAGCGCAGTCTTTTCGTTTTCCATCTTTTGGCTTTATATTTCTGAGTGTCAAACTTCGAACTTTGACGTATTAATAGAGGACCTGACTTGGCTGTATGGTGTTGATGATGCTTTCCTGGTAATAACTGAATTTTCTCATTAATATATTCGGTGTACGTTTCTCCAAATTTTTTAGGGTAAACTGAGCAAGCAAGCCAAAAATCCATTTATGCACTTGTTCCATAACGGCGATGTGTTGGAGCTTTACTTGCTATTGTTGCATTCACAATTCCATTACGACTACTAGAGGCACCTGAGGAACATTTTACCGCATTATCTGCTAACTTATTAAATACAGCAGATAAATCTTCTAGTAATTTCGAATTTTAGAATTTTCCTGGCATGTTAGAGTGGTCATAATTCTCTTTGTCTTGAATGTAACGACATTCTCCACAAAGACTATGATCATTGAAGGCGTGGTGAGGGATATTCCTGATCCATATTGCCATTGCAGAGCTATTTCCTTTACTTTGTGTCATGGCGCAATAGAAACACTGATGCAGATAAGCAATACCGTCTTTTGTGAACTCTTGTTTTTTTTCTCCATACCATAAAGGTGTTTTTGTACTCCGCCGGCAGCGTGATTTTTATCCGACTGCTTTAGTATTCGATCCGAACTGGCATTACGACAAGCCGTGATGGTGGAGCTGTCATCATCGCCAATAAGTACTCCGACCTCGTCATTCTGTGTTTTAAAAATTTGTTTTTCCATGACTAATTTTGTACCAACCTCAGGCTCCATGGTTTTTGCGTACCCATGAGAAATACAACGACAATTAGGGTTAGGGGGACTAGGATTAGTGCTGTCACATTTTTGCATTTGAGATGAAATGATGCATGATCCAAAACTTATCCACTGCAATGATCAATGATTGCCCCAAACCCATTTAAACCGTCATAACTACGGCCAGCACCCCTGATGTTCCAAGCCATATCATAAGAAACCATTACACGGATTACATCATTAAAGGATATCTTATTCATTAATTCTTCTGGCTGTTCATCTGCCATTGATTTATCGCAATTGTGACTAGATGAAATGGGCATCGTTTCGGCGTAATGAAGCCACTTTGGAATTCTTGAGGCCTGTATTTTTTTTTAATTAAAAAAAAGAGAAAGAACGTCATTTGTCAGTGGTACAATTTTGTATTAAAATGAATTTATTGATTTACAATTACCGAAAAAGTGTAAAATTTTTTTTTTATCAAAAATAAAATTATTTATACTAAACTTACTATTGAAAACTGTAGAAGGGTTGTTGAATGTTCTCTCTCCAACTAAAAATAAATTCATTATGAAAATGGATAGGATTAATGAGACGATTGATGATATATAAAAAAATTCGATTAAAAAAAAATGAATTGGGAACTATCATTCTCATTGTATGTGTTTCCGACGTCTGAAAATTTAGGAGTAAGATAAGGGAGTATCAATAACTGAGTCTAAAAAATTTCAAGCAAATCGGGGGTGAGGCCCTTACTATACACATTTACCAAAATTTATTCACTTGAGACCATCCTAGGCCACGGCGAAGTGCTCCTGAAAATTATAAAACCATTGTTATTTTCGAAATATAGTTGATAACTCAATTTTAAATGTTACTAAAAGTTCATGATTTATTCTTATTATTTATGAATTTTATGATTACCTAACACACTTTTTCAATGGACGTCAAAACGTTCGGTGCGTTTGTTTTTCATCCAATGCTCTCTATTTGTCCTCACTTTATTCACTAGAAGACATTTATGACACCTGATTTTCAAAACAGATCCCAGCCCTTTACGGTGTTCATTTTCCAGAAACTGGAATGCCAAAATTTCTTTGCATAACGTACACCACATCTGCTCACCCAAAAATTTCAGTTCGACAATTCATCGACCATCCATGAGCTCTTTCCCCGGTTACTCGTACTTGGCTGGTCCCAATTTGTAAGTGACGTCTCGTGTGAATTTTCTTTTTCATGTGACTCTAGATCACTGATTTTATTGATTTCCCCCAATATTTCTGTTGACATTTTCTCCCCCGTTCTGATTTTGTTTGCAGGTTATTTTTTTTTTCTTCTGGATCTTGCAAGTTGTGAACTTCAGCTTCAGCTAAATTTCCAGCAGTTGTATTTTCACTTAGTTTTCTCTTCAAACCTCGCTTTTGTCGACTGAAACGTAAATTTATTTCTTTTTACGCTGGCCACTTTCCTTTCCACCGAAACATTTTGCGAAATTTGCGCTGTAATCTAGAAATTAATAGAAAAAAAATGAAGTGGCTGCGCACTAACAAATAAATTTTTAGTTTTGTTTACTGACCTCAAATACAGGTTACAATACCGCACAGGTTCGAGTTCAATAGCATCAACTTAGGAATTCAAAAAATGGATGGTTTCATCGCCTTTAAACAATATTTACTTTTGCTGAAAAAAAATACAAAAAAATGTTCGCGGGGCTTTAACAATTATAAGACCGTATTATAATCATTTTAATAATTACTCGACACGATTATATAGTGTAAATATCGAATTTATACTATTTTTTTTTGAAGTTGGATACCTGTTATAGAACAATAGGTTTCTCCCGTCCCTCACCACCCCTTGCGATCAGGGGAGAACATCCCTAAACATGAATTCACAAGTTTTATATTTACTTATCGGCAATCGCCAGACGTGCTGGCGCGTTGGGGACTCTAAATCAGGGCCCGGCAACCTGGGCTCATTTGGCTCACGCGGCTCCCGAGGTTCGTTAGTGAGAGTTAGGAGAGAGGCCTCATCCACTTAATGAAACTACCTGCTCTAAAGTTTATTTCCCTTGTAATGTCCAGATTATTTTAACAGTTCCGCGATATCATTAAATTAAATTTAAAAAAGTCAAGTCAATGAACCACCGCCACAAAAATTGGGCAATTCACCAAAACCCGCCACTGACCTCAGGGGAATGTGCAACGCTGCATTCCACAAAGGCCAGCACCACAAAAAATTTAACAACTTGCAATTTTTCTAGCAACTAAAGCCAAGTTAATGAACCCGGAATCAGAGAGGTGGAAATCACGCCACCCATCCCACTCTTAACAATTTCCCAATTTTTGAAAGGACAAATAACGGTACATCCCAAAAAATTAACCAGTCTGAAAAATCCCGCTCATGAAAGAGCTACAACTTCCTGGCGGAAAAAATTATTGGAATCGGTCCGACTTTGACTAAGTGGTTCGAAGTTAATCTTTAATTAAATATCCGGAGTGTTCCTGAATGATATTGGGGAGCATAAATTAGCAACTCTTCGGGGATACTGAATTCTTAAAGCGAAAGTAAATAATCTCTTGCAGATCAAGGGGTGGAATCACCCTAAGAATTCACAATTTAAGAAATAAGAACCAACCGCAGTGAGTAAAAATCCATAGTAAACCCATCAATGATTGCAAGGGTTCCTTAAATTCTAACTATTTCTCTCAACCAATGTAAATTCAATTATTAATTCTAATAAAACCGTAAAGTGATACGATCCAATATCTCTTATTTTTCATTCAACCAGTTTAATTTGAAAATCACCAACGGTTAGAACTAAAGAAAATCCAGCGTCGTCCAAATAAATTAACCATAAAATTGCAGCTTATTGAACAAAAATCAATGTCCTTCGACGCAAAAATTCTCTGGACATACCAATCTATAATATTTTTCTCTCCTTGAGCCCTGGTTCGACCGATACCGGCAGAGGGCCACCGAGCGATCGAGCGGGAATTTTAATGTTCCATCGATTAGAAATATAAATGTGATTTTTTTTATTCGGAGTAAGCAGCAATATGAGCCAAAATTATTTTTTCTACGCTTTCATGATGAGGAATCACCCTTGACAATTATTTCATCTCCAGACCATACTTGCAGCAATGGAATACATGAAATAAAATAATTGTCTATTCCTGAGGTGGAGCAATAACTGCACCCAATAATATGAAGCACACAATTCGTCCATAAATAGTGGTGTAAGTAACCCATTTGGGTGAGAGAATTATCCCGGAAATAGGTATGGTCGTTTTTCTTTTGTTGAAATTTCTTTACTTTTTTTTCCTTGTGGAAAGGAAAAGAAAGAAGAAGCCCTTGGAGACCAAACTGGATAAACTTTAATCAGGCGCCAGTACGTGTTCTAATCAAAATGTACGAATACTAATTCAAAGAAATGAATAACTGCAACAGTAACCGGCAGCTCAGTGTCAACCGCGGAGGTGGCTGGGTTAAAAATCCTGTGCCAAGAAACAACTCTGAAATGATTGGGTTCCACTAAATAAACCAATGTTTAAGGCTATTTATTCCTTCTCAAATTTTGATAAAGACGATAACCTTGGGTCCGAAACTGAATTAGATAATTCAATGAATTCGTTAGAATTCTATTTCATATTTTTTAAGTTTGATGAATTCGATATAATAAAAAAATCCCTATTCACTTCGTTAACAGATTAAATAAATAAGCGAAATTATAAAGAAATAGCCGAATGTTAAATTAAGTCACGAAATCAAATTCTCGGATTCATTGAAAATAAATATTTTAAGAAATGATTAAGTCAAAAAAAAACAAATAACCAACAATCTGAGACAAGCGATCAAGATACGCGATAGCGTATCTGCCAAGTTGACGTCACAGGCAGAGAGCTGTCGTGTATTGTATTGCAGCTAACAACTCGCCCCTAACCCCTGAAAAAAACTTCAATTGCTTTTTTCCCCTTTAAACGCACGCTGTTTTGCAAAAGTATCCTTAGATACATTATATAACTCGCGGTTGATCTTTCTGATGAGATTTTTACTTTTTTCACTTATTACATTATTACAAAAATAACTCCATAGCAACGGAGACGAATGCACTGTTTCAAGAGTTTTATTTCGAGAGCGTTACTATTCCCTAGCGCTGTTTGTGTTACGTCCTCCCTAAGTAACTAGGAGAACTGTGGCGCCAGGTGAGTTATTTTAGCGCCAATGTTTGAGTGTGGGCTCGTTAGCCACTAAACCTCTAATGAGGACTCCATCGAAGTTGGTGAATGACAGGTTCAAGGTAATTTAATTATTCGATGATTCAAATAATAAAAATAAATCCACACAAGTGCTTAAGAGAGCACATCAACACTTTTATTCAGACTTGATTAACTTCAGCCCTTAACTACACTTTAAACTTAATCACTTAATTCAACTGTTTGAAAAGAGAAACTGCAAGCAGAAGGCTTGTGGAAGAAGAACTGAACTTAAACTTAATTTTACTTCTAAGGGTTGGGTCCACCAACCCCCGTCACTTGTTCTAAGTTGCGCACGCAAAAACAGGCCCCATCCAGAAGGGAAAAGTGTACTGTACAAAGAAACCAAAAGAGGGGAACGCATGACATCGCAGGTCTCCTCTTTGTTAGGACTCTAGGTCCTCAGTCCAGCGAATACAATGAACAATGAATCTCCACACGTGCTGTGCACATGCATTGGAAAACTTTTAAGATAAACAGAAATTGATATTTTACGACCTGAGACCGTGACTTTTAAAATAAACTCGACCCTCCAAACTTGTCTATAATAAATGTGTTTACTTGACGTGGATTTGAAACTTGACATTTATGTTAAACTATTTTCTTCACACTTGAGGAGTGTTTTCTCTTCTCTTTGTCCATTGTATGCTAGAACAATCTGTTCTAACACAGAAATCAAATTGAAATCAAATTGAATTACGCAATTTGAATCTCGCGGTGATTAATGCAACACGCGCGCCCCCCGACCTCTCGAGATATCAGGACATCACATTTGCGTGGGCTGTTCTAGGGAATAAAAGTAGTAAGTTAGAAGAAATTGTCTGCGCTTACGGAATTAATCCGCACGGGTCCGTAGCGGTGGCGCATGAACTAGGATAGAGCCCGCGCTTGTAAGCCAGTGAAAGAGCGTCAAGTCATTTAATATTTGTAACTTACCCTTTAACAATTGGAATCGATTGTTAATAATTTAATGATTTGAATATAACAACCAAATTAAAAATTTTAGTTTTGTTAAAATGAATTACCTAAATAACCTAATATTTGTGAATGACTCTTTAACAATTGGAGTCGATTGTTAATAATTTAATGATTTGAATATAACAACCAAATTAAAAATTTCAGTTCAGTTAAAATTAATTACCTAAATAACCCAATATTTGGGAATTACTCTTTAACAATTAGAATCGATTGTTGATAATTTAATGATTTGAATATAACAACCAAATTAAAAATTTGAGTTCAGTTAAAATTAATTACCTAAATAACCTAATATTTGTGAATTACACTTTAACAATTGGAATCGATTGTTAATAATTTAATGATTTGAATCTAACAACCCAATTAAAAATGTTAGTTCAGTTAAAGTTAATTACCTAAATAACCTAATATTTGTGAATTACTCTTTAACAATTGGAATCGATTGTTGATAATTTACTGCTTTGAATATAACAACCAAATTAAAAATTTTAGTTCAGTTAATTTTTCAATATGTACAATTCGAACATTTCAATCATAAATTATTTAAACAGATAGTTTAATGTTTCTAAATGACCCTTTAACAATTGGAATCAATTGTTAATATTTAGTTTCAATATTGCACTTAACTTATACCTTTAAATTAAAAATTTTCAGTGCTTCAATCTTCGAGCATTTTAATCTTTAATTCATTGCCTAAATAACCTAATATTTGTGAATTACCCTTCAACAATTGGAATCGAGTGTTAATATATGAATTAAATTATTACCTCCAAATTTAAATTTTTTATGTGATATTTTTCAATAATCAACTTGAATGACTGAATAAAAACTAAAACATGAATATTTAAATTATATTTCGTTGAGGAAAATTACTATGATGAACTAACACATGTCAGAGAGGTTTAAATCAGGTACCAATACTTTTGATTGCATCATTTGTTTGGTAATTATTAACATAAAAAAAAAATCATAAGAAAATGTTGTGAGCAAATGGCGCCAAGTCGACGCTCATTTAAACACAAGATAGAAGCATGGGACAATAACTGCATGGATGAAATCACACAATTTGAGAAAAAATCATATGAATATTAAATTTAAAAAATCACAAAAAAATTTTGTGAAAAAATGGCGCGAAGTCGACATGAATATGATCGCCTCCAAGACAGAAACAAGGGACAATTACTAAATAGTTGAAATCACACAGTAGGCGAACTGATTACGATATAATCTTATTTAAAAAAAAATATGGAAATAT